ATAATATAATCAAATAGTTTATAAACATTATTCTGGATAGACTTAAAACTTGGATCGAAAGAGAAAAATTGTTCAATGAGTATCAGGCAGGTTTTCGAAAAGGATTCAGTACAACCGATAATATCTGTAATTTAATGAATATAATGCAAATTAAGACAATAAGAAGACGCAGCAAATTTTTTTTTGTTTTTTATAGATTTTAAGTCTGCCTTCGACTCCCCTGTGCCGGAAGAAATTTATTATAAATTATTTAACCTGGGAGTTTTTAAAAAATAATGAAATTAATTGGGCAATATTATAAGAACACAGAATGTGCTTTGTAGTCAAAGGAAGGGACAACTTCTTTCTTCGCAACAAAAAATGGTGTAAAACAGGGATGCCCATTATCTCCTCTTGGAGGTGGTATTTGGATTGGCATTCTGAGTATAAGATGCCTAGTTGATGCAAATTATATAGTCATTTTTGCAAGTGATACAGTTACATTACAAAGGATGATAGATAGAATATACGAGTATTGTCAGGAGGTCCGAAGTCGTCGAATGTCATGTAAAATATGCTGCAAGTGCCTTTAATCAATTCTCTAGGAATATAAATGACGACAGTTTGTAGAAATCATGTTTTCCTTCATCATTGTTATACGAGTATTGCCTATTGTGAAACCTCACAGTTAATTTAGATAAATCATATTTTATGTTCTTCAAAGGAATAGGCAAATTGTCTCAGAATGAACAATGGAGGTATAATGGGAAAGAACTCGAAATTGTTTCACCTTATACGTATTGGGAGTGGAAATGACACCACAATTGTCCTTTAAACGATATTTGAATGGGAAGCTAAAGAGTTGTAAGATGGGAAGAAGTTCTTTGCGGCCACATTTTTTTAATGATGAATACCCATAAGTGCAAAGTATAAATTATTTGACAGTGTGTATAAAGCAGTAATTTGTTATGCAGCACAAGTATGGGGATACAAAGAATATGATGAAGTCGAAGCACTGAAAAAATATTTTTTGAAAAGAGTATTTCATTTGCCTCGACATTGCCCCGACAAAATTGTTCACAGCCGATTAAAAAACAACTAATAGACTATGTCATTGACAAAGAAATATATTGGTTCAAAAAAGTAAAAGATTTGTGCAATACGTTTCGTTACGATGTAAAAAAGATCTACATGAATAAGGATAAAAAGTAAACGCAAACTTTTATAAATTTTAAAAAAAATTTTGACAGACTTTTTTAATTAAACGAATTAATGCACGATTTCATCAAATGTATAAAAAAGTCACAACTAAACGATAATAACAAACAATATTTTATGTCAATTGTGATGAAGTTATGAATTTAAACTACTCAGCTAGAAGTGAAGGTAGGCATAAATGTTCATTATGTAATTTCCATGTTGATGAGAATGTATATCATTTTGTTTGTGAATGTCCAATCCTAAACGAGTTCAGATATAAATGGATGAGATGTATAGTAATATCAAGGATTTCATGCATTGAATATTTGAATTGTAAGAAAAAATGGTCTGAGATAGTTAATTACATTATTGATGCCCGTAAATATAGAAAAGCTTTAATAAATGAATATAACTGATAGCAGGTAGTAAATGTTTTGTTAATAGATTTATTACTGAATTAATTTTTGCATGCTTACTGAACAAATAATTATTGAATTAATTAATAATTGTTATAATTTTAGTTAAGATTTGTTGATAATATTTATTTAATATTTTTAAACTAACATTTTTATTATTAAAATTATTTATTTAATATCTCCTGATAAAAACTTAAATTTATATTTATGGAAATAAATAATATGCAAATAATTGTTAAAATGTGATAGCATAATAGGTATTACGCTGTGTTACAAATTGAATTAAGATTTATTACCACCATTATTAATAGTTTTTATATAAGGTATTGGTTGAAATGAAAAAGTTAGTATCTCGAGCGGGATTCGAACCCAAGATCTTCGATAAAATACGCCGCTGCTCTAACCACTTGAGCTAGCGTGACTTCCATCCACTCGGACACCAACTCCCCATCTCAACTTACAACTTTCTAATTTTGAATTTCAAAAAATAGCAAAAAGTAGGGAAAATTCGAAAAGTAGGTTGAGATGGGAAATTGGTGTCGGTCCACGAAATATAATGGATTATTGATAATATTTATTTAATATTCTAAAATAAAAATTATTATTACTCAAATTGTTTATTTATTATATATATTTTATTATTATATTATTATATTTTATTATATATATTATTTATTATATATATTTCATGTTAAAAACGTAAATTTAAGTTTATAGAAATAACTTATATGCAAGTAATGTTTCTATACCAGATTATAAAATTGTTAAAGTATGATAGCATATTAGAGTTATAATTATTAGTTATAATTTCAGTTGAGATTTATTATCACCAGTGTTGAGTATTGTTTGGTATGCGTTGTTGAAAGCCTGAATTAATGTTTTCCATAGTAACTTATATGTAAATATGCTCCTAAACAAAATCATTAAATTGGTAAAACATGATAATTTATTAGATATTAAGCCTCATCAGATGGGCTACAGGCTTTGGGTTTTAAGTTATTGTGCATTTAGCACTCAACTTTTTTTTGTAAGATCTTTTGGAATGTAATAATAATAAACACTTTTCTATTCTATTCTATTCAATTCTACTGTTACGATCCTTGGCAATGTTGGGAGAGTCAAAGAAATTTGAAATCGTCTACGAAAAACTTAATTATGTCAAATTGTAGGCTATTTAAAATTGTTTTGCCCTGTTGATAGCCTTAAAATAGGCCGAAAGATTAACAGTAACAACTGAATTTGCTTTTTCATTAAGACCACACCGTAATCCAAAGTATTCGTGAGTAGAAAAGTCGATACGTCCAACACTTAAAATAGATAAGAAGAAAATTAGGTGCTGGTCCATTGAATGAGATAATAGTCACTTTTGCCGAACTTTCGAAGATATATTTTCTCTTTCCTCAGGTCTTTATAACTCTTATCTACTATTATAATATATCATGTTGATTTGATCTTGACAACATTTGAATCCAAATAAAATATTCTTTAAAGTATACTATCACAAGTTGTAACAATAAAAAGTTTAAAAACACCAAAAGCTGAAACCGGTTTTTATATATACATGTTAAATTATAATAGTAGATAAGAGTCACTAAGCGCTGAGGAAAGGAAAATATATCTCCGAAAGTACGGCAAAAGTAACTGTTGTCTCATTCAATTGACCAGCAACTGATTTTTTTCCGATCTTTGATCTATGGTCGATCCAATACTCAACAACTTAAAATAGATTCTTTTGATCAACTCCGCCAATTGTAATTGGCCTCTTTTCATTTCCGTTCGTTTTGTTTTTTTACCTTTTTTTAATATAACAATTGTCATCACATTACTTGCCATACTTATTACCAGAATCATTTTTATTTCCTCATTTATTAAAAATAATTTATTTATTTTAATCAAGGAAAAAATCATTATAATTTTATTATCAGACCCTACGGCACACATATATCGAAGTGGTGGTAAAAGTCTTCCCGAGTTCTGGTTCTTTAGACATCTCTTAGTCTGGGGGCCGTAACCTGTTTTATTGGCAATATCACTGCCAACTCCAAGTCGACTTAGCCAGGTCTCAATACCGCTCGGGTACGATTTCATTTCCCGTTTATTCCACGTCCCACCGTTCTCAAACGATCCCAAAAGGTGGAATATATGACCGGATCATGACATCAATTTTATTAGGACTCTATTTATGCCTTTCCATTGTGATTTTTTTTGTTACTAATTTTTTATGGCTCACCAATCGCTTTACACGAATGGACAAATGTATGATGTAAAATGACAAATTTAAGTACTGAACTAAAGACTGAAATCTTCAAACCTCTCATGGATATCTTCCCAAATTAAAAAACATAAACTATTCTGGAACAGTCTTTATTATTAAAACTAAACGAAAACCGCAATATTGCAGCAATATCTCACTGGCACTCTTAACACGACACGCAAGAATGGCACACTTACGCAGAAAACAAACACTTTGAACCCTGAAGATGATCTCAATAAAGATCGAAACGTTGCACGATAAAGAAAATGTTTTTCTGAAACCTACATCACACCAGACCGCATCTCACGATTACTGAATAATCATCGACTAATGGTCACTAATCACCACACTTATTCAATTTATTGAGTTTCTCAAAACGGGTACTTTTTATATATTTTATGTTTTATTTCTGCACACTTGTTTTCTTTCCTCTCTTTCTCAATAGGTCAAAATAGTTTATTATTTTTGTTTATTTTTATTTTCAATAAAAATAAATCCTTATTGGCATAAGCAGAATGTTGCATTTGGTACGTTTTATGTGGCCGACAGAAAATTGTAACAACCCCCTAATCAAAATTCTACTTTCGGAAATATTCCATCCAAACCGATCATAAAAACCGAGAATCATTTATTTTTAAGGAAAATGACTCGATTGGCCAAGAGTTTCACCGCGTCGAGGTACGTGTGCGACATCAGGTGTCTCCTGGGTCGTACGTGATCCTACGTTATGTATGCTGCCCCAGGCAATATCTACTTCAGACTAGAAATAAAAATATAGCACCATCCCAACTTTTCAACACCTATTCAATATTTTTCCAACGATTCGAATATGGGGCAGCGAATTGATGAAAATCGGCGGAAAACGATTGAAACGAAAGAGCTTAAATCCTAAAAGAAAGACCGTCGTCTTTATAAAGGTTCCAGGACAATTTTTTACAAAGACTTATCCTGTATACCTTTTAGCCGTGTTAGTTGGTCGCTATTCAAATTTAATTTTAAAAAATGACAATTACCCTACCTTAAAGAAACAGGACCAATGTTTTCCCTGATTTCAAAGACGGCGGGGTCGGGGTTGCTAAATAATATAATTCGAGATAAAAGCCGTAATAACTTTGTTCAAAGATAAGATGGGAAATTAGCCTATTAAATACCTGCTGAGTCCGGCGGGGTGATGTAGAAAATCAAAGATGCACGACGTTGCATACGCGAGGATTTGGTCATGATCTTGACGCGCACTGGAACAATCAACATAAAAATCATATGCTATGAACGTAAAATAAAGATAAATTAGGTAAAATAAAGATAATGTAGGTAAAATTCTTAAACGAGAAAATGTTTAGAGTAGTTTTTAGAGATGCGTGCTCACGTAGAAACATCCTCACAAAACTAAAGACCCGTTCCATATTGATTATCATACAGAATGCATATTTGACTGCACAGGTACATTGAGAAAGTTCTTCTGGAAGCTTTCTGTCATTTGCTCCATTTATTGGGGACAACTTCTTGCTTGGAGGTTGTAGGAATAACCACAATGAATTGGCACCAACACATCCTCCTGACATGAGTACTACAGAACCCTTATGGGTCATGGTAAAGAGACAGGTTAGACATCGTTCGCTGCTTTCAACAAGCATTGTACAGCTGCAAAACGAGAGGTTTTAGAATGGGATTCTGTGTAATAAGACGTAATCCGATGCCTAGTAGACTTAAGTAAGAGAGGTAATGAATTGTTAGCTAAATATTAGCCTATTACTAAATGTTTTTCCGTTGTTTTTATATATTTATTTATTCATTTTATTGCAGTTCAACGGGTCAAATGACCCAAAACTGAACAGTCAAGAGCATATAAGACATACATAACAATTTCATTTTGAGCAGCAAATATTTATATGCAAATCTTTACACTCCACAAGAAAAGTGACACAAATCGAAAAATTCTAAAAACCGGATTAGTTAGTTTTTTTAAGTATTCATGTGTGTGATGCTACAGGAAAAATGACACAACTGTAGGTGGACTCTTGCTAGGCAGCACTGTCACTTTTGGCTGGAACGTACTGTCAACATTCACGAAAAGTTTCATTTCTTAGTTCTGTTGAGCTTTAAAGCATCCTTGCGAGTATTTATCAGGAAAAGCGGCACATTCGAATTATGTCAGTTTTTTCTTGTTTAGTGAAAGATTTTAGGCCCTACCGGAGTCAGTTTTTCACATTATAAAAACAACTGTTAAATCACTTGTACAAATATGTTTTTCTTAATGTGAACTTAAGATAGGCCCTGATGATGACCTTAAAATAAATCGAAGCCTTGGCAGTAGCAACTGAATTTGCTTTTTTCTTCAGGACCATACCTTAATCTAAGTGTTTCGTGAATTATATTAGTTTCGTTTCTTTTATTTTAATAATATTCTTAATTATAATATGATTTTCTTAATTTTTTAATAACTTTGTCTTTTAATTTTCACATTATTTTATTGTTTCAATGATTTTTTTTAAATGTTTTATAATTACATTATTTTTAATAATCAATAAAACGTTTATTTCATTAATTATTTTGGTATTTTATATAACTAATTAACCCTGATTCGAGGAGGAAAGAACATTTGGGTCAAAAATAATCTTAGTAAAACTAACTACATGGATATTTATGCTCGTTTGTTAGGTTTGTATGTTATTATCCCCAAAAAAATTAATGCCCTTTCAGTCATTCATTAATCACCATTCTCGTTACAGAAAACAAACTTAAATTATTGAGAGCAAGAAAAGTGTCACAACTCAAAAAATGGTAGTTTTTTTAAGGGTAGTACAGCTAGATTTTTAAAGTTTTGTATTTTCGCTTAAGTCTTGGAGTAATGAAACACAGTATTGATGGGTTATTACAGTTTTTATTGCCAACAACCGTAATTGCGTGTACTTAATGCATAAGTTAAAAAAAAAAGTAAACTCCCATTTGTCTCTCCTGTAAAATTTTCTTTTGTTGAGATGTGTCACTTTTCTTGTGGTATGCGATATTTTCATTTAATTTAAGGTTATTATTGTCGCGCCAAGACTGGAAAGCGTCTAGAACCTCCTGCAGTAAACTAAATTGCTCGAATGAGCAAGTTGGATGAAAAAATTTTATGTCGTCAGCTAATAGTGAAAATCTGGTGTTGTTAATTAATGATTTGAATAAATTGCAAAAAATAAACTCTCCATAAATAAAATATCGAGTGCTAGTCATAATTATTGGAAAACATAATTGGACGATTGGGGTGAAATTTGAGATTACCTTTTGTGACCTCCTGGATGGGCAGTTCCATTCAAACGCGGTTAATTAAATCAAAATGACGCGAACGTAATGATCGTCCAGCACGTTTGGCGTATAAACAAAACAAATCCCTCCAAAACAAATAAAGGCCCACATAGAAATTCAACTCGGAAAACGCCAGGGGCCGCGATTTCTAAAAGGACCGAATCGAATCCTGCAGGGATATGCGAACGAGCGAGACGCGCATTTGCATCCGGCAAATTCAATTTCGAATAGGACAAATCCTTTGTGCACCGACACAATCCATCGGTGGATGACGCACAATTTTCCACCATCTGCCTGCGACATCTGTGTAATTGTATTTCCGACATACATGTGATTGAATGAATCACACTTTATTGCCAGTGTGATTTTTCAGGGAAGAAAGTCGTCCTCTAAAAACTCGTAAATATTTACATAAACAAGACTCCATAGTTACCTCTATACTGCGTAAATAGTAGTTTGTATCCTATTTAAATACTTTATACATTAAATCATGGAATATTTAATCACATAAACCAAGCTGTTTTCCTCTGTTTAAGAAAATTGATTAACTTTAAAAACAAAAGTTACAGTCTTTTATTGAATAACGCATCTAAACAACGGGCAGGTATAGGAACAAGGACTTACAGTCAGTTCATATGTTGAGGAAGTAATCCGAGGCGATTTGCATAAGAATATAATTGAATTAAACAGTTGTCTCCGGGTTATACGACTGGTGCCAGATGTGAAACTAGGTGGTTAAAGTTCACCGACCAGGTTAGAAGAAATAGTACGCCACCGTGTCTAGTTTTTATACAAACCTGTTTTAACAAAAATAACAAGAACCACTTTGTGATAAGCATTTTTCACCGAGCGGACTACATGTCCGTTTTAAAAGAATCTCTTTGGAAAAAAAAGAAAAGATAACCATTATATTTTATCGGTTGGGAAATGTTGAATTTCAAAACTGGGTTATTCTATTTGTAACCTTTACGGCTTTAGAAATAATGCAGGAGTAGAGAGAAGATAGAATTGGTATTAATTTTTAGTTAACTATTTTAATGTCAGTACTATCGCGTCTTCTCAAGTAACCGTGAAATTGGCCAAGCAAGTAGTGAAATAAACTGTGCTCATCATGTTAAATGTTTAATTTAGTCGTCCCATCACTAGCACTCGGGTGTCAGATAAGCGTTGTACCAATGTGCTATTTCGTGGTCAAGAGGAAGCATGTGAGAAATCCATTTCAATCGTATATTAAAACATAATATTTAATAATATTTAAAGATTTTGATGATACTCAACAATAGATACTACACTCGTGTGCGAGCTTTCGCCAATGGGTCCTAAATACCTAGCAGAAATTAATTTTTTGGAAGATAGGTTTTTCTCTTTATTATGCGTGCAGTTCTAAGTACCATTCAATTTTTTTTAAATGTATGATCAGAAAATAATATGTAAGATCGTATTATATGAGATAAGATATAAAACGTTACAAAAACAAAAATATATAGAATTATTAGATATTTTTAGGTAGATTCAGTATTACACTTAAAAATGCATAACTCCTCTGAATATTATCCAAAATTAACTTTTATATACTCGTTAAAAAACGGAATATTTCTTCTTTCATACTATGCCAAAAAACGTGTAGATATTGTCATTACAAAGGGAAGAAATAAGGATAATAGTACAAAACATCTCGAAGGTTTTTTATTATTCGTCCGGTTTTAATTTATTCATGGTGGCGACCATTGTTTCATTACGTGTATTTCATGCCGTTCTAAAGCTCTCTAAAGTCTCCGGTAGGTGGGTGTAATCACTTTAAAGTTATCACCATTTTTGTGATGAAAATCAAAAGCATTGTTACGGACAACATTTGTAACTCCTCCAGATTTTAAAAACCTACTATGTAAAAACACGAAAAAAATTAATATGCAATCAAATTTGTATTGAAATACAATACATAATGATTTTGTAATCAAGCTATATAGAAAGGTAGGTAAAAAAATTTCATCGAGAAACAAATTTTACAGTCGGTTTTTGCATCCTGAAATACCCTTGCGCATAATTTTTTAGGAAAATCAAAAATAATTTGTCGATAAATTTATCTCGAACTTTTGCTTTCTATATTGCCTTTGTTTTTTTCTAAAATCACAAAAGTGGTGATATTTTTGAACGACTCCCACCAAACCTTAGGAATCTTTACTCGGGCTTAGGACCCTACACGTAATCGCCTAAGCCTGGTCTCCGAAAATAAATCAGAATATAAAATGAAGGGAGTTTTTTTTATTGTATCATAATTTTTCTTACTTACATTAACATAAAAATCAAAGTTAGTTGATATAGGCTGAAAAAAGAAATATCCAACTTTCCAACGGATGTAATGTCGTGGACATAGGATAAAATCCAGAGGAGTTATGAATTCTTATTTCGAACACCGGACATCGTCATTTCTTGCTTGTAACTTTCTATATATATCTAATCTAAAACTTTCATTGAAATCCTTGTTCCCACGTCCGTTGCGACCACTTGTTTGCTACGACGAGATTGTAACTCGCAATGGAATAACCCGAGCTTTTTGGTATAGTCCAAAACAAATTCTTACCACATAAATTTTATTATTATGGTATGAGAGATACACTCCAAGGTTTCTGTCACAGCCATCTGCAAGCAGAAAACAAATAGTGCGAATAACTAGCAAATTTTTTAGTCAAAAAAATGCGTAATTTAGAAAATCAAAAGGTCGACTTTTGAGCGTAATGTTTGTGTTATGTGAATGTACTTATTTATATATATTGAATAGCTTAGTAACTTAGACTTTCCGACTTGCTGATTACATAAGTTTTGTGGCAAATTGTGCATTGATTTATAAAAATATTGATAATGATTATAAACTCAATAAGAATAATGTATATGAGTTTACTTCAGAATATTATAAATTTATAACTTTTGGTATTTATGTTGGTTGGTT